GGATAAATATTTTACTATACTTTTACATAGCTGCTATAATTATCTTTACTTACAGAACCGTTAAACCAGAGATATAAAAAGCAAGATTTGCTAGATGTCTGGTGGTTAAGATTTGTTAGTTAGAGGTTAGTTCATCAAAATATATAAATGGGTACTGAGAGCGTTTGAAGAGTACTGATAAAAATCATGTTGAAATGTCAGACTGTATAGAAATACATAGTTTCTGTATTTGTATTGAGTAATCAGTGTTTCTTTCTGGACCTGTAGATCTTCCACCAGCCTCCAGATCCCAATGTGCCTCTGCCCCAGCCCCAGAGTCGACCTGGCTCTCGCAGGAGCAGGGCCATCTGTCTGTCCACCGGGCCCCGAAAACCCCGGAGCCTCTACACTCCCACACTGTGTCTTGCAGATGCAGATAGTGAGTACCAAGGAAGTGATGAGTGTCACAATTTGTTAAACCACGCCTTTAATATCTTTTAGGAATCTTTACACGCAGTCTCCTACATTTAGGCCAGCTCTCTAAAGCTAATGAATAATATAATATCTAAACATTTTTTGTCTAAATTGCAAAGAAGCTAAAATCTTTTACTTGCTAAGCAGGTTTTAATGAGGGCCTTGTGTGCCTCGTCTCTGGTCCCTGCATAGGTGACGCTTTGAGCAGCAGTCCAGACAGCACCCCCATGGGGAGTATGGAGTCTCTGTCTTCCCATTCCTCGGAGCAAAACACCTCCTCCAAAACAGCTTCCTCTAGACAGAGGACATGTCAGGACAAGTCACTCCTGGACCTCCGCCGGACACCTTCACAGCTTTCAAATGGCCCCCAGAGTGCCGTGTTTGTCAGCAGTCCCGACTCGAGCTCCAGGGAGGACACGGGACGCACAGATGGCGAGTCAGAGGATGCTCTTAGCTCGTCCTCAGTCAGCACAACACCAAGGCTGTCTCCTGCACCCAAGAAAGCCCCACACTGTCGTGCTGACCTCAGGCCAGAGCTGCTAAACCGCTCCACGGCACCCTCTCTCAAATCATTGCATATATCCGAAGGTACGATAATCGTGAAGCGATGCCATTTGAAACGTAATTTGCAGTTATTTTGACTTAAAATCAAGTCGATCAGAATCTCATGAAAGTGAAATTTCAGGACAGAATAGATAAACTGGGTAGTTTTCACTGTTATGATTTATCCTTCAAGGGCTTTCAAAAACTGACAGTAGCTCGAGAATATTTTGTTATTTCCTGATTTATTTGGTGCAGCGTGATAGCTGTTCCTTAGTGTCTGCCTTTTGTTTCTATGTGTCATTTACGAGTTATTATTTGTATGTCGCCCTTCAGGCCACAGGAGCTGCTCTGGATCTGTCCAAAGTTTATCAACACTGGAGTCCAAAGAGAGTTTAAAGCCTACTGAGCACCCAAACCTTCCACCAAAACAAGCGATCCGCCGCAGGATGGACACTTCAGTCAGCAATGGCTACCAAAGACCTGGCTCAGTGTAAAGAGCTTTAAAAAGCAAATCATTTTTCTCATCACAAGTTAGAGTTTTAACATGTCTCCACAAAATAAATACAAGGCAAACAGGCTTTTACATATATACTTGATTTTCTTTCTCCCTTCCTCTCTGTTTGCCCTCTGAGTTTTCTGCCTCCTTCATCTGTTTACGAGCATCGAGAGGTTTCTAAGGACAGATGAGTGCGTGTTGTGAGATTTATGTCTTTCCTGCTCTGGTGGGAGAGCTGGCCTTAATTACGTTCTGCCTGCTCTCGGGTTGCCGTGACCCAGCACCAGTCTGCACTGGATCTCTTGAGATGAATAGATAGTTTGACTTGTCTTGTCTAAGAAACCAGTCACACTTGTCTTTCAATTAGTTTTCCCGTATAGCATCCAGCTAGCTTGCCCTAGTCTCTGTTGTCCCCATGACTCTGGGGTTATGTCCAGGGTCAAGTGCGGCCTCGTTATATAGTTTAACTCAGTTTAGCTTTGTGTTAAAGCTGAGTCTGCCAGGAGGAAGGAAACCTCCCATATTGTGTGGTTAAGCCTTTCATTTCATTCTCAACAATGAAAAATGCTGGCAAGAGCAAGTAAACTAAGACAGCACTGATACATTATAATAGATAACACACAGTTACACTGTTTCATTATTTTAAAATCATCTTAATTGTCACTCATGCATGTCTTAAATGGCATAATTACAGCTTGACATACTTTACACAATGAAGTGCACTGAACTCTATTGTTTTTTTTCCAATTGTTTTCAGGGTGGCTGCCCGAGCATTGCTTTTTGAAAATGCCTCCACCCAACAGTCTGCTCCAGTTGGAAGGTGATAAAAAATTACGACCCCAAACAAGAGTTTGACCTAATCGATCCCACGCTCATCTCCTTAAATCTGCGATTACAAAGCATATTTTTGTTGTCTTTACAGAGATGCCAAGGCAATGTATTCCTGTGAGGCAGAGCACAGTCATGAGCTCAGCTTTCCACAGGGGGCACACTTCTCAAACGGTGAGCAGAAAAAGCGCAAACACATAAGCACATTTAACTGTCTGCTTGTAAGCCGACCTTCGCTTTACAGCAAAAGTGCTTGGATTCAAGATTGCAAATGATTCGTTGAAAGGCTGATCGGAAGTGTAAATACTGTACACACAGAGGGGGTAATTTGCCTGACTTGTGCTGACAGCAAAGAGCAGGAACTTGGTGAATTTCCAGTGTTGAAATGGAAAGTTTTTGCTCTTAGCGCGACACTCCCATATACATTATGGACATCCAAACAGTGCCAAGATTTTTTTTATTGCCTCCTGCTTGTTTCCATTAAGAGATGACTTGGCCCACAAACAGTCTAGGCAGGTCACTGTAACCTAGTAATGAAAGGCACCAGTGCCGGTTTCCTCTTAGCACAGCCAGCAGAGCCAAATGCAAAAACGTCAACAGATGCTCCCCACAATTTACTAGCAGGCAGACTTTTATTGTTCTCCATTTTCTCTACATCTTAATTCAGCACATCTCTGCTAGATTGTATTTACCGGACATTTTACAGCTGTTTCCCTTTGTTTTGGTGAATCTCCGCAATAATTTAGTTTAGTTTTAATGGTTTAAACTGTTTGCGTTTCTTTCACGATGGCTAAAATTCAAATACTTCATGGGGACTGAATCTGAAGAGCAGACTAGCCCAGAGCCCTCCTCAATCTAATATTCAATAATTCTTGTAAATTATGCAGTCAAATATAGGCTCAGTGATTCAAATCAGCTTATTCCAGATCAGAAGTCTGAATCTGTTTTTTCACTGGCTCGGTATGTTTTTCTCTCTTCTGTCCTGTAGTCTACCCCTCTGTTGAACCAGGCTGGCTCCAAGCAACATACGAGGGAAAAACAGGTTTAATCCCAGAGAATTATGTTGTCTTCCTCTGACAGGTGGTAAACTTTGCATCTTTTCATGGTATCCATGGAAAACAAATCACACAATGTGCTTAAATCTCCCTATTATTATACTAATGCATATTATGCATTTTTAGCAGTTATCAAGCAGGTCAATAATTGCTTAAACAGTGCGACAAGTCCAAAGATATACCTCCCTTACTGTAATGACTATTGTGTGCTTCTGGAGAATGGACATTATTGTTAGATTTAACTATGTTGCCTGCTGGCTGCACTGAGTGACAGCGTTCACTTACAAAATCACCAAACAATATCATATCCCATTTCACACATTTTATTCTCAGAAAAATATCATATTTTAACTTCCCATTATATTAGCAAAACATATTCATCAAGAAGTTAATGAAAATCTGCTGTCTCATAAACATTTGTATTGACTGTAATTTAACAAGCTGTGATTTAAAATGAGAAGATCTATTTGAATCTAATAGAAAAAAAAATGTATAATGGGTTTGCACCTTAATTTTCATGTTTTTGTACTCTGATCATTGCTCATCCACTGAATCTCCTCACTGCTGCAGTGCACTTTCTGGTTCAGTAGCTACACGGTACTGTAATGTACATTAAAGTTTGTAAGTCTTTTTCTCTGTAATTCCACATCAAAAGATATTTACTTCTAATGACATTATTATTTTTATTATTACTATACACTGCTCACAATGATATATATCACATGTTTGTTTTATAATGTTACAAATGAATGTTACGAGAAGTGTCCTTGATACACCGGTGTACTGGTAATGACAACTAGACAAGCATAGCGTTAACAGATAAAGTTCTATTTCTGTCACAGCATTTTTCTAAAGAAATGTTTCTAATTACATAAAAAGTTAACTTCATTGATACCGTTTAAGAAAAGCATAAAAGAAAAATTAACAACAAGGTCACTTTGAAGTAAAGGGTTCTCTGGCTAGCCAAATTGTTTCTGGGAGTGCATTTTTAGTTTCGCTGTTGCCAAGATCAGGATGTTCTTTTCTTTTCCTTTTACATGTTAGGAATGCAAAGCGGCCTTGAACAGCGATGCCGGACTTGTACTCCCTTAGAGTCTGAATTTGCAGGGGCAAGTTATATCATTGAAATGATATTCATATCCCAAATATGTAACATTTGGCATCCTTTTATATACTGGAAGTTTGATGCCTTGGAGACATCTACTGTATCCTGACAGTGCATAAACATGTCTATAAATAAACTTAAGCATGATAGACCAGTTGTCCAAATTTCTTTGCTATAGTTAGTGAGTGGAGATAAAGCTTTGTAGCAGTAAAGTTCTCCTCAAGTGTTCTTCCTATCCATAAAGACATGACAATAAATTTTATTTTATTTTTTACATTTGGACCCTTTAAGCTTGTCAAGCCAGTAATGTTTTACTTCAAATTTGTCGCATTTCCTGGCCAAAGAACTCAGAAGTTGCGATAACTCAGGAGAAAATGTGGTTATTGTCCTGAATGGTCTGGATTTCTTAACAGTGCAATATTAATGGTAATAAACATGTTTGCAGTTGTCGCTTGCATCGCATTAAGATCTCATTATTTACATGTACATTTATGTTGATGCAGATATGCATGTAAATTAAAGCTGGTGAGCTAAGTTTTGTTAAGAAAATATGGCTCATAGTTCACTTTTCGTTCTTATAAATATTTTAAACAAAGTTATTTTAAAGGTTTCACCTTCCTTAAGTAGGTATGGTGAGTTACTATGCTGGTATCCTGTATTGATTAGCCTAAGTCACAAATTTCAATTTATTCTGCACCTTTCCTTGAAAAATGTTAGCATTTTTGTATTTATTTTTTATTTGTTTTGAATACAAAAATATCTCTAATGGTTTTCTTAAAACCTACTATGTTCAAAGCAAGTTTTATACACAACTTGTAGGAATGGAAATGGTGGATACACCTGAATAAAACATAGGAACTTTATTGATTGATGCCTCTAAATGTATCATTTTCAAGATATGTCTCTGCTAAAAACATTTTAAGAAACCTGGTCATCCTGTTTAACCTCAAGCAAATTAGAGGCATTTTGGCAAAATGAAGGCTCTGAAGAATCCAGTAACAATGGGATGAGTAATCCAGACACAAGCTGTCTTCACAGAGCTGCAGTATCTGTGTTGGCAATGTCATTTGCTGTGGAATAAGAGGGGCCTCACCATGCCAGCAAGGACCTTGGGAAGCTGGGAGGCAATGACCTCTGACATCATCTCTGGAAACTCCACTTTCATGGCATCTGCCTGGATGAAGGTACTCAAACAGAACAGGTTGATCTTCTTTACTATCTGTTAAAAAAGAAACATCAATTTGTGTCTTGGTAGTTGTTAAAGTGGCAAAAATATATATACGGTTATACTGAGCTCTGTGGGGGAGCCTACATCATGAATGGCATCCATGAGTTTGGTGAGGTGGTAGAATCGCTGGGAACTTGCCACGATGCCCTTCTCCTTCATTTGAATAGCCTTGGTCAGCTCCCGAATGTAGTTTTGTCTCATTTCATCAAATGCTGCCTGACTTTTTAATCCTTCAAGAGGCACTAAGTGCAGAGAAGATATTTGCATATTTAAAATTGCACTAAACATTTCAAAACGGTATTGTTAGAAGAAGTAAAGAAATACTGGGGAGATGTTATGCAAGTACCAGCCAGCAATGATTTTAAAGGTAAATGCCGTTAGTAAAACTAGGATTGATAGCAGTTGCTACATAAATCTTGTCAAGATGCACACTGCTTTTATAAAAATGTCTTTATTGTGCAGTGCAGCTGTAACTGATCATAGCTTAGTTTGTAAGTCTCCTTAACAGCGTGAAATAGGGCCGTGCTATATGACCAAAATCTCTGATTCAGTTTATTTTGAAAAGTCTCAACGGGATCTTGAGCTTTATTGTGAAAGGTTTAGGTCGAAATAACGACAACGCATAAAAACAAGCGCTTGTCTGTCTGTAGTGTGGTTATATAAAATATAAGAGAAAGAGAGAACTTTAAGAAATTAATATAGCCACTACAGTGACCATCAAAATAATGAAAAAATATTGCCGTAAACAGTTTATTTTGTGACACCACGAAACAAACGATAGTGTAAAATGCAACGATAGACGTTTTTATATCGTCATCTGATATATATGGTTATATCGAACAGCCCTAGCATAACAGTCTTACCTGTGTTGAGCAATATTATGGCTTTCATGCAAAGAAACTCTTCGCGTGTAACTTGAAGATTTGCAAACTCCTGAGGAATAAACTGTATCGCTAGACAGAGGTCGTAAATTGGAGATCTCCTCATTTGCTCCCTAATGGACAAAAGCACAAAATGGTTTACGTCTCTGGATAACCAGTAGACTCTTTCTCTACTGAAATCACTAACTTATGGATAAAAGAGTTCATGAATCATCACCAACCGAAAGCCATCTTCAATTGCCGATGACTGTGGTTACTTACTGGCTAAGAACCAGATCAGGTGCAAAGTACAAATGTTCACCGGTGACATTCTGAAAGGAGCGCCACCCAAGAGAGAACACCATCATGTTCATCCACGAGTACTGGATGAGTGTCATCTGATCATTGATGTGTAGATTACGAAAACCTAAAAAAAGAAAAAGAAGAACATTTCATTCATAACATTTCTTCTCGTATATATATGGTTTTCCAGTAACAGTAACATTTTTGTCTCAGTAGGTGTTTACAGTCATGTTAAACTATATTAAAATTTCCTGTCAAACACTCGGTGACAATATTCAAGGCATTACAAAGTCTTCTATCTTGGCGTTTAGGACTTTAGACTTCCAACAAGGCCCGCCACTAGATCCCCATGACAACAACTGTGATGGCCCTGAGATGCAGAAAGCTGTTACCTGGGAGAGATTTTGACCACTTCACAATCCACATCAGCTGTTTCTCACACAGCCTGTTGAGACTGGTGAGCAGAAGATGGGGAGCATCAGCCTGGGAGCTGTCATGACCAGAGTACACCACCTCTGGTTCGATGTTTTCAAGGATGTTGAGCATTTGTTGGGAGACTTGTAGCTCATGAATGCCTGGTATGTAAGACATGGGAGTCAAGGCTTGGCTGTCACCGGGCATGGTCATGTGGGACCGGAACATCAGGGATGGGGTCAAACCTGTGTCTTTCAAGGCCCCAAAGCGCTTCAGTTTCCTCCCTGTGACGTGAACACAAGTTCTGGTTTGATCTGATGGGAAACCACTAAATTCGTGCCAATAAGACATTTGAAAGAGTAAAATATCCTGAGGGGTTTTTTGTTGTTTTTTTGAGTCATGATTTTCTTTTTAATCTAAACATGCAGAATATTCTCTTTGGTTTTAATCATGGTTTCTTGGGACTACATGATAAATAAAACCAAATGATACCTCCAAGCATCATTCCTGCTTGATAGCACTTTCGAAGGCGACACGCAGGGCAATTTTTTCTCCGAATTTTGTCCACAATGCAGTCATTCCGCCCAGCACAGAGATAGCTGTGATGGCCTGTTGAATGAATAGGTACAGACAATGCAAAACATTTTTAGCAGTTCTCCATTCCAAATATGTAGGAAACGGGAGAGGTCTTTAATAAGAAGAGAATGTGTTGAAGAGTTCTTGACTATTAGCATGAATACTCTACTCCACGCTGAGGCAGCACTCTGGCAGAAAATTAGATAGAGGCAAGGCTGTGAGGACAGAGTGACATGGCCACGGTGAGACATAGTGGCTCTAATATATCTCACATTGAAAGATAACAGGAGAAAAAAAAACTCCAAGTGGAAGAACAGGATGTACACTAGTAACTGTGATACTAATAACCTTTAACAACTACCACAAAAGGTCATTATTATTCTTTTAACTTGGTTTTAGGAAAAAATTATAAAGATTAACATAGAAAATACATGTCTAAGCACTAAGAGAGATTTTTCATTTGTTTAAATATCGCAGTATTACGTTAGTAGTACATTGTGCAGCATTTTAAATGAGGGACATGAGGACAGAATCAAAAGAAAGAAAAAGACAGTAAGGAGTAAAGCAGTGAAAACTATATATATATA